TATTGCCAATGATGTGTATATGTGTTTTCTAGTTCCATATTGTACTTGCTGAGTATTTTTATACTCACTCTTGTGTTTTATTTGGTTTTATGCACGCATTGAGACCGACATGCATGGGCAGGAAGTAGCTCCATTATATACACATTTATCTGCACAATATCAAACTATATTGCCTAGGTCTATAATGACACTTAAACTACCTTTTAGTTTCTTTCCATGGATTAGATGGATGGATAGTGCTATGGGAATGATGTTATTATTAGTTTAATCTATAATTGCATGTCGTGGATGTCCGTATTTACAGGGATACTCTTTCGAAATTTTTAATGAATTTAGGACTCAGTGGTTTCTGTACCGTAGTGTGTAGCATCCTAGGTAAGAGAATGTAAATCGCCCTAAATTTAAATCGTGCTTTAATGCATTTCTAGAAATTTTAAAAAAAAGCCTCCAACAATTAAAACTCACCAACATTTATTTCAAATTGGCTTGTGGGTATTTTTAATAAATTCCCCATGCTTAAAAATGTTTAACCAATTTTTACTTGAATTTTCAGAGCATTCTAAATAATTTTAAGGCAACAAAAACAATTAAAGAAATTTTATAAAATGGAAAAGCTAAAAGAAATCCTCTTCCTCCTGTTGGGCTGTTTCCAGCCCATCTCTCCCTCTCTTGGCCCAGCCCAGCCGCCCCCTCTCCTTCCCTCTCTCTCCTCCCCCTCCCTCTCCTTGGGCCGGCCCAGCTCATTCCCTCTCCCTCGGACTAAGTCCATCTTTCCTTCTCCGCGCGCCCCAGCCTGGGCAGGTGTGCTCCCTCTCGATGGCATGTGGGTCCCACTCGTCATCCCTAACCTTCAGCCATCCTCTCTCTTTCCGGCCGAATTCCTGCCGACGGCAACCTCCGATTCGCCTCCTCCACTCGCCGTTTCATCAAATTAATTGAGGGGAATTAATTCCCACCTCATCCTCTCCAATTCCCTCATAATTTCCTACTCTATCCCGCATTATTCGTGGTGGATTTTGATGGTGTTCTTTAATGGTCAGCTCCACCATGGCCGGCGTCGATCTCCTTCCCCGGCGTCTCTCTCCCTCCCCTCCGAACTATAAAAAGGGACCCCTGACTCCCTCCTCTCTCCCCACACACCGCCGCCCTCTCCTCCTTTCTCCGCGGCCTCCGCTCCGCTCTCTTCTTGTGCCGCTGCCGTCGCAACTCCGGCCATCCCTCGTCGGAGCTCAGAGTCGCCACCATCCGCTTCGGCGATTCCTCCTATTCCCCGTCCACCCCTCTGTTGAGCACGAGGACCGCAGGAACGACGACGACGCCGACGACCCGAAGCTTCTCACCGTTTCTTCCTCACCGCCGGCAACACCGCCGACCTCTCGCCGCCGTGTCTGCTCGGTGAGAACCGTCGTCTCCTCCCCTTTCTGTTTTTCCCCTTCCCATACTCTGTCGCACCGCCGCCGCGCCGTTGGCCGTTGCCGGCGAGCCGCCTGCTCGGGTACTGCTCTACTCGGCCATGTCTGTGCACGTCGGTGCACCGTGAGCCACCTCGGTGTGCTCGGCTCACGGTGGACCGAGCGGCTGTCAAGTGGGACCCGCTCGTGGACCCGGTCCGCGTGCGCTCTCTCTCAATAATTCAAGTTTTCCTTTAGAAAAATAATTCACAAAATTGCAAATTTCCATTTAAATAACACCTAAACTTCAAATGGCCATATCTTGACCGTTTGAACTAGGAATCAACCCGTTCAAATCTCTAATTTCTCCTAAAATTGAGTAGATCCCATTTATGTGCTTTATTGCTTATGTTCATGTGGTTTTTATTAGCCTTTTTGTATTTCTTTGTGTTGGTCGTGTAGATCCTGCCGTTCCGGAAGATCAGTTGTTCATCGTCGTTGATGGCGAAGACTTTGTGAGCAATCAAGGCAAGTCATATCTACCTTGAACATGTTGAATCCCATATTGTGAAAATTATGTTGTTTTACTTATAGTGCATTGCTTTATAAATTATACTTTTCATTATTAATATTGTTTTATTAGTTATTCCTATGCTCTTTGTTATGGCCATGTTGTTGATTTGATATCCATGATCATTGTGAACCCTAGTAAAATTATAACTTGACTAGTCTAGTACCCTACATGATGGACTAACTAGTTGCTTTAGGTAAATGCTTAATCATGCTTAGTTCCAACCTAGAACTTTTGGATAAACTAGACTGGTGGTTAACAACTAAAACTGGATTAGTTATGGACTATTGACTGGTTTGTCAATAGATAGGTGATAAAATGCTTTGTACAGCTAAAATATATTTTTGGGTTGGGCTTGGGGTGCAAGCTGGTTACTTTGGTAGTCGCACCCTGGCTAATATAAGGACCGGTCTTCGGGCCTCTGTTGCAAGGCATATTCGTGCAACCACAAGTCTAGTGGGTAAGGCCTGACTGGAAGTTTAGATCTTCTCAAAAGACAGACCATTGTTTGGAAGGGTATGGGGCCAGGATTAAGGCTGTCTTTTCACCCGGCGCAAGGGGGGGCCTGTCTCGTCCCGGGGGATCCGGCAACCTTTACCTTGTCGTGGACCGGCGGGCGGCGAAACCTCGGCGGGTTCTCCTGTTTTGGGTAGACCTAGATGGATAGTCTTGTCACGACCTCTATCCGGGTACCGTGGTGGTACCCAGCGCGTGGCAACGCGTGTTGAGGTTGTGTCTTATGGGTAAAGTTGTACACCTCTGATCAGAGTTAAAAACTATTCGAATAGCCGCGACCTCGGTTATGGGCAAGCTGAGCAATGTACCCAAAGTTAGTTTTGTTTTATAAAACCTTGGGAGGGTGAAATCATGATGGTGTAGTCATGTGGAGATTAGCCTGGGTTAAGGCAGGTTCGCAGGCTCATGCGACCTTGATGATATTAAAATATTGGCTTAGAACAGGATCGTGTTTTAAAATGAGCTTTAACCTGATTAAAATGTTTCAACTATGGCTTTATGCAAAATAAACCCTATTAGGCCATTTCCTTGTTTCCCCTATGCATTATGGTTGCATTTCCGGTGTGACTTGCTTAGTACGGTGATGGTACTCACTCTTGCTCACAAAAATAATCCAGAGGATGGACCTAAGGAAGATGAAGGCTTGGATCTCTAGTTCGCTCCACCGTTGAGTGCCTGTGGCTGCTGCTGTTCCGTAGTCTTCCACTGTTTTATTTGTTTATCTTTGAGTGTGAGGGCTTAAGTCGCCCATGTAATAAAGTACTTCCTTTACGCTTCCGCAAGTGTGGCTTGTAATAATCAACAATGTCTATGTGTACCTCATCTCCTGGGACGAGGATTAATGCACTGAGCGTTTGGAAATGGTGTATATTTCCAGGCATGACAGAGAATACCGGGGGTGTTACAGAAACTCTATCCTCCCAATGCACTTCCACCTATAAATACCCCTCTCCTTCCTCATTCTCACATACACCAAAGCGTGAGCTGAATTATAAGAGGCTCTATTGTACTTTATTGTATACTAGAATTAGGGATAGAGTAGAGTACAAGAAGTCGGAGGAATTCTACAATTGTCGGTAGTCCTCTCTCATTTCTTATACTGTAACATACCCAAATTTTAGACCTTAAAAGTTTCGTGTCAAAATAGTTGGAAGCTAACTTTTCCATTTTTGAGAGCCAAAAATTTCCATTTTTAACCTAGGTGTGGTCAGTCTAACTTGAACCTAAGTAAAACTTGAGAACAAATTAAAACCTTTGCATCTCTAACCTAGGACAAAAATGTAAACCTATGTGTAAGCATGCATACTCATAGGACATGTTTAGACTTGAGTCCTTCATATGCATTTGGATTTTTGATTTGCATTTCATCATAGGTCTTATGAATATAATTACAATCTAGACAAACAACTAAACCATTAGAGCTTAGTGCTAACTAATGGAAAATAATACATAGAAACCTTAAAATATATCAAAAGGCCAATGTCAAGCCCCACAAAAATAATTTGGTCATCCATATGAAGACGAGTCATGAACATGGAAGTGAACAAATAAATTAAGTCATATAGGGTATATTCTATCTTAATCATCTCTATAAGCATCCTCTTAATCTAATACTAAAGTAAACTTATACATAAATAGGTAAGAAGCTTATGATCTGTGTAAGGTAAACTGTAACTCAAACATATCAACATCATCTCAGGTTAAGAAGAGTCCAAATATAACTTATATAAATATTTGCATGCATTTAGAAAAGGGAAACACATATAAGAGATAAGCCTTGCGGATTATCTAAGATATTTTGTGCAAGATAAAATCATGGAAAAATTTATGTAGAATATTATTAGCACAAGCTATTCACTGTAATTTTGGTCAAACATTAACTAAATTTGATACCTTAAATAAACAAGTCAAACTAGTCGAATAATAGACTAAATATAGTTCTTAATCAGCTAAAACCATACATAACTAAAATGTGCATTTAACTGCATGGAAGTGTATAGGCGAAATAATTTATTCAAATACTAGGTTAATTATAATGAATAAATATAATTTTTCCAGAATTTATCTTCTCTGTTTAGGTCTCTTAAAAATCCAAACTATTTTCCAAAGAGCCCCTCTTCTTCTAATTTCTGTGAGTAATCTATCCATACTTTTTAAGTGCAACCAAAGAAAATGGAAACTAGGTAACTTCATCTACCTCCAGTAAAATCAACACTAGTTAATCTGGTCCACACATTAAGTTACGAAGCTACAAATTTAGAGGAGAAAATAATCCTGAAAATTAGTCCAAAATCAATTAACACCCCATCTTCTACCCACCTCTCACAATCCAGCCTTGTTTCCTTCGCCCTGGGCCATGTTCCCTTCGCCCTGGGCCCACATGGCAGCCTCTTTGGCTTGCTCCACACCCTGTGCATCTCCTCCAACCGACCAGAGACAACCGAGACTGAGAGAGAGATCGGCGCCGGCTATGAACGACACGTGGCCACAACGTGTCGACGCCATCAAACACCTAGTCTAGCCTTCTCCTCCTCCCAGCTGCATCGCCACACCCCATTATCCATTCCTAAACTGAAGAAACCAAGAAGGAGAGCTCCATCTCCCTTTTCCATCTCAACCTCGCCGCCGGTCGTGAAGACGACGACCGCCTCCAGCGTCATTAAGCCGCCGTCGTTTCCTCTTCTCTTGCGTTCCATTATCACCTCTCCTCGCCGATTCCAGCCCTCTAAGTTTCATCCCATTTCATGCAGTGGTTTGGTGGGAACTCAAACCTCGACGATAATGCTCTGGAGCGCGCACTGGACGCCGCCATCGGGACATCGTCTTCGTTGCTGTCGAACCGGAGCAAGCCGAGCCGAGCCACCGCATCATCAACATCTCCTCGGTGTCCTCTCTTAAATCCCTCATGAACCCCAGCCAGTGGTGCATCGAGCTTGGAGATCGGCATCGTCTTCCCCAATTCCAGCCGTCAAGCTCCACCTTCGATTTCTCCCTCTCCGGTGAGTCACAGCTCAATTCCTCGGGCATGAAGCTTTCCAGAGACCTATTATACACCGTGTGTATGCATGCATGGTAGATCATCAGCCATATCAAGCCGGCGACGTCATTCCGAAGCTCCCCGCCGTCGCCGAGTCGTTCTGCTCGCGGTCACCGCTATCTGGACCCTGCCAAGTTTCATTGGACGCTCGGTAAGCATCCTAGGATCCCATAGCGGCACATGCATGTAGCTAAACATCTAGATCAATGCTCTAGCTCCACATGCACCATCACCCGAGAACCACCGCAGCTCGCGCCGCCGTCGCCATTAATTCCGGTGACTAATGCTTGCAATAATACCACCAAAAGCGTCGCCTTGAACCCCTTTACATTTTATCCTTACGTTGCACGCCGAGATCTGCCACCGTTTGTCGCCGGCGAGCTCGAGGACGAGCTCGGCCATGGCTAGCTCTGTATCAGCTCGAACCAAGGACCTCACTTGAGAAGAATCAAAACTCTAGGTAGTAGTTTGTAAAACCTACTTCACACACAGAACAGTCATGGGACCGCGGGTTGATTTTGCTGAAACACCAGGGGCCTTTCTGCATACTGGCTTGAGACTAACCTGTCGACCCAATCTATTTAAATTCTGAAAAAATCTAAATGAAATACCTAAAGCTTTATGTTTTCAACAGAAAAACATGTAAACTTGTAAAATCCATAACAAATTGAAAACAACTCATCTTAGAGTAATTCAAATTACTGCTAACTCATCTAATCAAGAACTTTAGTTTTATTGCATAAAAACTTGCACTCACAATACAATTTCTGTCTCTAAAATTCATCTACGTAAAATCACATATAAAACATACACAGGATTATAAAATGCATACAAAATTCATTTCAACTCATTTTAGAGCAAACTTAGTTTCTACAGATTCCCCAACATGTTCTCTAAAAAAAAGTAAAATAAAACGTATACACACTTTACATCAAATGCCTCTAAAACTATTATCTTTAAAATAACTAGTTCTGCATAAGCTGAACTTTAGAAGTTTATATAAAATTCATCTTAGATCCTTTTCGAGTAAACTCAAGTTCTGTAGAATCATAGAGTTGTGCACTTCAATGTTATAAAATAAAAAGACATACTTACAGTATAATAAGAACCCCTAAGCATTTATGTAAGGAATAAGCAACATGGAGCATACCTTAAATTGTAAAATTTGTAGAAAATTCATCTTTAGTCTAAATGAAGTGAACCAAATTTCTGTAGAACCAGCAAGTAATATACTTTAACCTAGTAGAGTGAATTATGGCACCCTCTGTACAGACCATAGCTCTAAACCTTAATTTGGTAGAATAGGTACTAAACACATAATAGTGGTTAAACAATACATATGAATAAGTGTATATATATATGCATGGTAGCTCCAAATAAATCCAAATAAAACTTGTTAGGACCAGTGGAGCCATAGTTCCATCCCCATCTACCAAAACTTAGATGAACTTATCTCATGCAACAATCTTTAGATTGATAAGTTAAGTAACTAACATAGAACATCCCTATTTATAAAATATGTAGTAAAATAATATAAACTCCGAAATTATGAACTAAGATTAGATTAGTTAACTAAAATACTCATTTTATACAACACTAGCAAGTTAAAGCAAGTTCTGGACCTAAGGGCGCCATCGTTTTGCAGTTGCTGCTGCTTTTCAGCAGTACTAGCCTAATGCTTATAAGCATCAGCAATTCCATTGTTTTGTTTATGGCTGATTACTGGATCTTCTATGAACTGATGCATTGCCTCTGCTTGCCTGCCTCTGTGTGCGTTGTGTGCTCGTCAGCACTGAGTCCAAATGCGTGGCCGTAGATAGATCCCGACATGTGTAGGGCCCACTACCAATAGCTGTTTGCATTTAGGCCGTAACAGCGAACCGATGCGCTTCTGCTGCAAAACAGCAACCGCAAAAGCGAACCGATGGCAGCCTAAATCTCCAAAGCCATGTACACATAGAGACTATATGCCTAGAACACGTTATAACTTGTAATTTGTGAACCACATAAAGAATACATAATAACTCTAAAAATTGTGAAACCAAATGTATTAGTCTTAGAAAACACACCTCTACACCTCTGTAAAGTCAAACTTAATAAACATCACTTTATAAAAATATTTTATAACACTACCTAAGTAAATACTATCCTATACCGAGCAAACTTCTATAATTCATAACTCTCAAATGAAATGAGATAAAATAGAAATTCTTTCACGTAAATTCATTTTAGACCAGTACCTATCCACTGTGCACAAATCATGCATTTTAGAGCATTTTAGATTTTTCGCATATTTCGGTGTTTAACTGCATAACATGTACTTTGTATAGATGATTGCTTAAACGGTGAAGAAGTGATTTAGGTGCTGACTTTTTCCGGTTACAAGGAAAGTCCCACCTCCCTCTCTTTGATCACTTTGAACCTATGTTTTGGAGGTTATTGAAAATGTTGGCAAATCTTGCATGTCGATTGTACACTAATAAATTAAAATTTTGTTAAACTTGTTAGGCAAGCTCCTATTATTTGAATTATCACCTTAACCCACATATATCCATATCCCTCATTCCTAACCTTAGGAACAATACGACTATACCACTTTATATATGAGTTTTGGTGACACTAGGTTACTATAATGCTTAGCCATGTTTAGAATGGTTTTCCTTGTCATTATGGGCTCATTACAAACATGAAAATTAATTTTTAAATAATCTGGAAAGAATTTTAATACTTGTGATTTTGATAAATAAAATGGTGGAAAACATGGATTTTAGGTTTGGGCCTCAAGTGGTGCACATATGGTGATTAGTTGTGTACCGATAGGGGGAGAGTGTGCCCAAACCAACCTAAGGACTTCACTCAATGTCTGTTCATTATGTTTACCATACATCCACATGTGTCTTTATGGGGGATCTTGGCCTATTAAGTTAAGCACTTGTCTAACCTTGCATTCGGGAGGCCGTTATAGTATAGGTAGGGGCCACGAGTGTACTGTGGGCTACCTAGAGGAACTACCCATGTGTGTGTTGAACCTTAGGACGAGTGTACTGTTCCTAAGTGTGATCGTAGGATGATAAATTCCCTACGTGTGTGATTTCCGTGAGGGGACGAGTGTACTGTTCCGCCTCACGTGTTCCGCCTCACGGCATGGGCGTCTAAGTGTGTCCAATACAACGATATTGTGCCACGTGGTGGGTTCCCATTGTGTCCGCTACCACGGCGTTAAGTTTAAAGCGTGTGCCCGCCACTTAACGGTTCTAGGTCATATAACGTGTATGGCCTAGGATGGAGAAACACGTATCGTGCTCATGCATGGTTAGACAATACTTAATGTAAAAGCCTCGTTGTGTCCGCTATCACGGCGTTAAGTTTAAAGCGTGGGCCTGCCATTAACAGTTCTAGGTCATATAACGTGTATGGCCTAGGATGGAGAAACACATATCGTGCTCATGCAAGGTTAGACAATACTTAATGTAAAAGCCTCGTTGTGACCTCTAGACCATACTCAATGTGTAGAGTATGGTGGTACCGACGGGTACCGGACAAACCAGAGCGATTCACATCATGTGGGTAAAGCTGTATAAAGTCTGCAGAGTTCTAAAACCTAATCGATTAGCCGTGCTCGCGGTCATGAGCGGCATGTCGATATGTGTTGAGTATAGACTTGTGTTTATTCTTCTAAATGCTGAAATTTAACTTCAAAATGTGATGAGATTTGAGAATGATCTCCTTGTTGCCATGGATGGCAATGAGTAGTATATTTATACATGATTAATGACTACTTTGATGCCCAATATGTCAAGTACTTGCTTGCTGAAATTTATTTGAAAGCAAATCTGATTTGGAAATGTTTTATGCAAATAAAACTTGCTTTATGCTAAAAAGAACCATATCATGCCTTCCTTGATTATATGCCTTGCAAGTAGAGTGTTAGGCTTGTCTTGGTGCTTACCAGTACATTATTTCTTATAATGTACTGACTCTTGCTATTGAATTAACCTTTTGTTTGCAGGTTTAGACTTAGTCTTTGAGTGATTGCGGTAATCGACTGCTTCTTATAGGACTTGAATTTAATGGGGTAAATGTCATAATATAACTAGTAATATGCCCGTACTAACGTTACGGGGATGTTTCATAAGACCACTGTGATATCACAGAAAAGGAAATTCCTGCTGAGAATGATACAACTTTACAGTGTAAATGAAATGATGCTAATTAATTAATTAATTATACTTGCATCTCACAGCATATTGATTTACGCACAAAACTTACTAACACATAAAACTCATTGCATGATCAACTTCACTTGAGCTATTAGAAGGGTTCTCTGAAAAACAAGAGCAGCACATGCAACATTAGTGGAGACTTAACATAATTTACAGGATCATTCACATGTAATTACAAGTGCAATAGACATGCTTTCTCCTTTTCTCACCTCTAGAAATATGAATATTGATTCCAAAGGACGGTATGCTAATAGTTCACTAATCCTACTCTCCCAAGTTACTCCAGGAATGTGGACTTTGAAGATCGTCTGATTTCCAAAGAACATCCTTTAAGGTGTTGGAGACGTTCTTGTAAAACTACATACATTAAAACCTACATGATTCAGTACAAGAAACAAGAAATTCAATCAAATGGTGAATATTAAATGATAAATTATAAATCAGTGAAACCCAATGTATCAGATTAGTGACTCAAATTTTCCAATGAAAGCCCATGAACATCAACTTCATGATCACCACATAAAATATCTACCTCAAGGAACTTCAAGTTGCATCCTCTCTTAATTTGGTTGATAATAATGCACAATAACAGTTAGATTGAAAAGCTTTTACACAAAGCAGATTGCAGTATACCATTTTTTTTCATATTGCCTCAGTAGCAACATTGGGATTTCCTTTTCTCCCTGTTTTTGTACCTTTTCTAGCTAATATTCAATGAACTAAATAGTTCAACATGCAGGAAATATCTATTTCAATTTACTATAAATTATGCCTAGAAGGCTAGAACCCACTATTTTTTTCAAGGGAAATATAAGCAAATAATGTGACAAGGGGAGCAGACCTTGCATTTTTTTTTCTGGACATCGAGTCCAACAATTAATCGGCAGGAAAATCCGACAGAGTAGAAAAAAAAAACTGAAGGCTAATAAAAATCTGAAGTTATATATGCACAATACAACTACAGTGGGCAGGTATAATAGTATTATGAATGGTGTATAAGAATATTTGTAAGAGAGAACTCTGACACCAGTAAGAGAAAAAAAAAAGAGAAGTGATCCAGTATGCATTTTCCGTTAACTGATCCGTTAACTCATATCAGGAAAGGCTTATATAAAGAGAATGCATTTTCCTAGAATTCGGTACTACACACATCAGTTACTATGAAACTACAATTAACACGTTGGCTTGCAAACTCAATAAAGCAAAATATGTGTTTTCACACTTTCAAATGCAGTGTATATGCTTCTCTTGATCGATCAGAATTAAACTAAACATTGCACAGATTTCACTTGGCAACTAACAGTGAAGTTTCTGGGATAAAATTTAGGGGGAAACTTACTGCCAGCATATGGGAATTTTCCTGTGTGAGCGAGCTGCCAGTTAGCGAGCCACAGCTTCTGGCCCATTCCTGCTCAAGTCTATGATCTTGCTGTATGCACCAAAACAAAGCAAAAATCGCATCAAACCAAGAGCACATAGCATCAAAAGCCCCAGCCACTCAAAGCCTCAATAGAAGGGATGAACTGATGCAAGGAATCAGGTGGTTTCAGGGACGTACTCCCTCCCCTCAAGGAGCCTCATAGGTTCCGAATTCTCCTGGAATTGGCACAAAATTTAGAAAAATATCACCTTTAGTTTAGTAGCCTTTAGAAAAATATCACCTTTAGTTTAGTAGCAATCTCAGAGATCGAGATTAACAGAGAGAGATGGGATGTTGCCTTGACCAGCTGCGCGATTCCCTTCTCGCCCGCATCCGCCGCACACACCGATCCATCATGGTCCACGGGTGTACCTCCTCATTACAGCCCCGCCCTTGGATATCGAGGTCACGCTGTTCGCGGCCATCCTCCCCGGTGCAGCAGCGGTAGCCACCTCCGCCTCCACCGCTGGCAGTGCCAGGATGGCGACCTGGTGGGGAGCAAAGACAGCGGCCTCCATGGTGGTTCGTCTCCATGGAGGAGGTGCAGTGGCATCCGTAACGCGAGGCGGAGATCGGGGATTCGCAGTACCGGTAGAAGGGTACGGTTTGGGGATTGTGAGCGGCGGCGCGGTGGCGATAGGCGAGCGGCAGGGGCCTACCGGCGGCTAGGTAGGGTTTGAAGATTTGAGAGGGGCAGGGGCAAGAATCGCGGCGGTGATAGGTAAGGGGAACGGGCATGAATCGCTGCGCACTTGCTGATGGAAGATGAAGCAGTGGTGCTGTGATGTTGCTGAAGAACCACTGCAGTCCGCGTCATGCTGGCGAGGCGCCTGTCGCTCCAGCCATCGCGCCACCTCGGTTTCACCGAAGATCCACCGCGCCACCGCTTCACCACCGTCGAGGGCTCATAGTAGTGGCGACAGGGGAGAGATGTGACGAAGACCATGGTGAGCCGGCGCCCTTGACCACGGAGGATTGAAGGTGGCGGTGGCAGGGGAGAGATGAGGGCGGTGATGGAGACCGCGGCGAGCGGCACGAGCTGACACGCCCTTGAAAACGGAGGATCGAAGGCCGCGGCAACACGCAGCGATTAGGGTAGAGGCGCGGTTAGGGGATGAGCAAGGTTGCGGGTTGCGACCTTGCGGGATGAGGACAGAGAGGAGACGTGGATCTGTGACTGGGAGAGCGAGAAAGAGAGAAAGGGGCGTGCCGCGTGCGCGATTCAAGGTGGTGGGAGCGATTCATAGAGGTGGGAGGTGGGATTGATCTCGATCATTTGATTTTACACTGGTCGATCTTAACCGTTGAGTGATGAATGTAAGAGTGTAGGAGTGAAAGATGAGTAAAATGATTTGGTGAATTATAGGGTAGATTAAGGACTAAATTATAATGAATCCCATTGTGAACTAATTGATCTAAGCATGGCTAATCACTCCTAGAGCAATCATCTAGTCAGTTATAACCCAAGTTATCAATGGCATAAGATATTCAACATGCTGAGTATGATAGGCATCCATCCCACATGACATTCTAAAACAATGCAATTTAATAGAAAGAAGGGGATTTTATAAAATAGGCTCCACATGATCAATGATGCATGTATGACCTGCCTTGCTCTTGAGCTGACTAAACCTCGGCGACCACTTCGAAATAAACTAGATCACCAGACCTGACAGAGTCTAAACGACAAACAAAGCACACAAGAAATACCAGCAATGAGGCTACTGAAACAGCAAAAGAAACCAATTTTAATGGATTCTATACATTTTAACGGATTCACTACAATTTGAATGGGTTAAAATGGAGCTCAGATTATTTAGTTACGAATTTTATAATATGAGTTGCGTTATTACTAATAACTGAAAAACCTTAATCATTTATTACATATTATTGCCGATAGATAAATAGATCAATGGAAATAAACCTCTGGTAAGCAAGCCTCATGAATTAACGACTCAACGACCCAATACTTCGTGACATGGGACCATCCAAACGGTCAACCGAACCGGCGAACGGAACCGACGGCTCAGACACGGTTTACGACAGAGACTCGGTACAGCAAGCGATAGGCCGGTAGGGGTTTAGGGATGCACCTATGGCTTTGCGACTCGGCTACTGAGCTACGGGCAGCGGCAAACCACGACAGCTAGGCGGTGACACAAGGCAGCGGTGACACGGCAGCTAGGCGGCGGCGGCACGGCTAGGCTACTAGGGTTTTGTCGGGGTTACACTTTTAGGGTTACAACAACGACACTAAAAAGAATTAACACCTAAACCGGGAGATTACGGATAGGTTCCTCACCAAACCGAGACAATCAGCGAGGAGGAGACGACGACTACAGTTCGGCGGCAACATGCCGAGACAGCGGTGATGCTAGATCAAAATCTAGGACGGAGATAAATTAGAATAGAGATAGATAATCGTGGTAGCCATGACACGGAGAGGGAAAACAGATTATCGGTGACGCTAGGGCGACGCCGGCGACGGCGGGAGGCGGCAGCTAGGGCTAGGACTAGGGCTAAAACAAAAATTGAATAGGAAAAATAATAGGGGGTGTTCTAACTTATACAGGAGTGGGGAAAAAAGAGGGAGGTGGGACTGGTGGGGAGGCAGCAGAGAGGGAGGGGAGAGGGGGCCTAGTCGGACATGGGGAGAGAGGAGGCATGCGCGCGGAAGGGGGAGAGGGGGAGTGGCGGCCGAGTGGGATGGGGAGGGGAGGAAAAATAGGAATAGGATTTGGAAAGGAACTTTCCCAAATTGAAAAAGAAATGCTGTGCCGTTTTAGGAAAAGAACGGAAACGGACTCACAAACGGAAACGGACTTGGCTCGTTATGCAAAACAAAACCACGGACGAAGAGGGCAGTGAATCGGGCACGATTCACGACCAAATGCGGGAGAGAAAGATTATTATTAATTCAAATCTTGACAATTCAATCTACCAACATTAACTCCGATGTTCTGAATATTCCGCTTTAAGTGCTGTTAATGATTTTAGAGCAAAGAGAATTCGAAAAAGAATTCTCCCTGACATTTCCGATTATTAAAATGTCTTGTTAATTTGGGCTTTCTCTTGGTTAACCAAAGTAATTTCTATAGACAATTTATTGGTGAATTAGAAACTACAGAGAAGGGGAAACTCTGGGTGTGACAGCATATTTGCTTTCATATTTATTACTAAGTCAAAAAGTCGGGCCAAATAAGATAACAAAACATACTTCTGATGAAGATCGTGCAAGTGTCTGGTATGATAGTGGATATGGAATGACATTACTCCTTCTGTATACACCTTCCTCTTTTTTTTCAAAAATTGAGAGGGTGTATGGCTAGGTTTTTTTCTTCTGTTTTTTCATCATGCCCCATACTTTGTATGAACAAGATTTTATTTTTCTCTCCTTTTTTTTCTTTTTTTCCTTTTGCATAGCCATACCTCTCTTTCATTTTGAATGATACTTTTGGAAAGAGAGCCATAAATAACATGGAGTATTTATTTTGTGGATGAAGTGGAAGAAAATGGATAAAATGGATAAAATGAATGCTAGCTTCTAGTATAGATGTTTAGCATATGTGCGTGTAAGTGTGTGTCTGATCATAAAGTATGAGAAGCATCTAACAAAGGTCACGGAAATTTGACTAAAGTTTAATGGAATTACAAGCAACCATAACATTAGGTTTTTGTAATTTAAATGAGTATATGTCTCTGGTAGGACTTCATATCAAATGAGGAACTTTCTAAAGTTATCATTTTGAGAAAAAAAACATCTGAAATTCTAGTCAAACTTAGAATAAGACCATAGTAACTATAGTTTACCAAATCAGATCTCATAACAACCTAGACTTAGATCATGCAATGTTCTATTAACAACTCCCAGGTTCCCAGATAATATTTGGCCTTCCGGCTTAAAACTTAAGAGAGTAGTACTTAACTATGAACCAATACATAGGAGATATAAAAGATAGCAAGTATTCATCATTTCAACATAGAAAATTTAGTAGTCTTACATAGCATATAAAAATCTAACCTATATATTTTTGACTTTTTATGTTTTACAAATTTTAATGTTCTTTTCAGGTTATAAATGCAATGTGAAAGGGAATGTCACGCCTAGAAATTCATGAACCAGAATTTCAAGAAGAATGTGTATTAAATCCCCTATCCAGGACAAGCCAGGGTACACAAACAACAAAGTCGAAACTCAGATCCACGTCTTACAAATAAATAATGTCTTAAATATGCAGCGGAAAGTGGAAGCATCATTTGGGGATTGCTCTACTTCATCGCCTCATCTTGACAAGTCTGAAATGATTATCTCCTCTGATCAAGAAGGTCTTATCTCATCATCCATCTCACCAACATACAACTACAAGCAAGGTAATGAAATGGTGAATAAGGTTGATGATTGTCCAACTCTCCCATTGTACTCCAACAACACCGATAATGAAATTGCTATATTTGATTGTGTTGTTGACTCATACAAACCATCTAGCGCTAAATGTGTGCATGAGGATGATATGGATGGATGCTCTACTTTCCATAGTACTTGTGGAACTAACCTTTTGAAGGAAGAAGTGAATGAACATAAATGGTTAAGTGAAGAATCCACATCATCAACTTGTTTATCTTCCATTGCCGAAGATCATGCATGCTTTATGGGCGATGATGATGACTTTGTGGTTGATCAATTGAACAAGAAGGATACAACAATGGTGATCATGCTCATGGGGGTTATTGAGAAGCAACATGAATGACTCATTAAGAAGAATGAAGAAATCAAGGGTCTATCTGATGAACACAAGAAACTCAATGGATCTCATTCTTCATTAATTATGAAGTACGAAAAATTGGAAAATGAATTTTCTTGTGCCACTAATTCAATTGCTTGTGTAGCATTTTTAGAGAAGGAAAATCAAGAGCTCAAATCTGAATTTGAGATCACTAGCAAGTATATGGATTTACAAGAAATGCATCATGAACTTTGCAGATTCTCATGACCATAGTAGAGATAGCTCATGAGGTGATAATTGCAACGGTAAAATCATATGGGCCTCATGCTCAGGTTGATCTTACTTGTGCTAACACTTGCTGCTCCGAAGCAAACATTTCCCTGAGCACTACATGTGACTTGGATTATGTAGGAAAAAAGGACAAGGACTTGTGGGCAATGCTTAACCTTCTCAAGATAACCGTGGGAACATGGTGAAGAAGCCTGAGAAGGGATCAACCGTAGCTTGCACCAAGTTCTATCAAGCAAATACTAAGTTCAACAACAAGAGTAAAGGGCAAATTCAAAGTAGTATCAAAACTCTCAGTACTTGCATCATGTGCAAGAAAGTGGGACACTATGCGTTGATATGTTCCAACAAGATTGATGACCAAGAGGAGAACAAGAAGAAGCAATATGAAGTGTTATGGATGCAATGTGAAGGATCATGAAGTTGCATCATGCCCCCATATGAAGGATGAAGACTTTATGTCATCAAGGAAGAAACTTAATATCAAGGCAACAAGTAAGATGAAAGATGCGGTGAAGAAAGCACCATGTAAAGACAAGAATCGACTTTGTTACAATTGCCGGTGAAAGGGACAAATTGGTAAAAAAATTGTCCCAATGGTAACATTCTTAACCCGAACTTTTTATTTGAATCTTAAATTGCTTAGGAAGGCAAAAAATGTCACTAGTATTACTTAAATGATTAGTTCACCACATGCTAGCACAAAGCTCACTTGGGTGCCGAAATCTCTTATGACTAACCTATATGGACCCAATTTTCTTGTGGACAAAAATGTGCTAAAATGAGAATATGTGTACATGGAGAGACATTGGAGGTATGGCTTATGCAAGCAAAGGTGGATCTCACCAAGTTCGGAGTTTAGAGCCAACCATTGCAAAATTCACGTCAAGAACCAATCTCATCTCGGTAACATGTATCTACATTGAATTATCTTGTATTTAATCTTGTATAGGTTGCATTGCATTCTCATAGCATTTAAGAATTTACCTTCCTTGCATATGTGAAATTCATCATTTATGCATTCTTGAGCATGATAAGTTGTGTCATATGAGTATTTAATACTCAATCATATTCATGCATATCACACCAATATATGTTCTCAAGTTGGTTAAGTGCTAGTTCGTAATTTCAAAACAAACCTTTTAGCCAAAAGTGAAAATTTTGAAAACTATAGAAAAAGCTTTTCTATGAGAAATCTAATTGGAAATGATCTCAACGTGTGTTTCAAATATCTCTCAATACTTTTATATTTCAAAGAAGAGCTAATTTTCAATGAAAAAGAATTTCAACAAAAAAAAATGTAGCTCTAAGTATCTTGTTTTAGCTAATTTTCAAAAGGAATTTGAAAATGGTTTCAAAATGAAAAAGATAGGGTTGGCTAATTCAAACATTTTTGGTTTTCAAAACTTCTCTAAAAAGCCAACCAACTAAAAGAAATTTACATTCCAATCTTATCCAAAATATTATTTAGACCATACATGGCCACCTACTATCACTTAGATGAGTTCTCATTGTTGGGGTTGCATAAATGCATCATACTAGCTCAAATAAGTACATAACATTCATTCATATTTATTTCTCACCAAAACCATCTTATTTGTTTGTGTTTGCATTTTTGGATAAAAGTGTTTAGAATAGAAGCTTATGTAGCTTTTTGCTCAAACTTGGTCTTTTCTTCGAAACCTTGACTTCATGATGTTAAAGTGTGAAATAAATCAATTCGGAGTGGTCTTAATCATATTTTTATATCCCATGCTTTCAAAATATGAAAGATTTCAAAAGTTGGATTTATAGCTATTTCAAATATCCTCTTTGGTCAAAATTAAGAAAAATCTCATTTAAGAGGCCAAATTTTGTGAAAATCCTCCCAAAAGTGCTTCAATATGTATTTCAAATTTTTGCAAGGTATTTGAAGTAAAAGATCTTATTTCTAAAATAATATAGAAAATGGGCGTAAAAGGATCTTGCATGATCTTATTTTTATTCAAAATGTTCTATCTCCCTAATTCAAAATATTTTGTGTTTTTGAAAACATTTCTAATACGAAAGTTTATGGGTTGGTCATTAAAAACAAATCTCTAGTTCAAAGTTTTCTCAAAATACCAACCATTCAAAGGGTATAGCTATTTAAAATTCATCCAAAATTGTGTAATGTAATGACCACAATGACCAAAACATGGATTTCAAGGGTTATGCTAATGGAGCTAAAGTACAATGTGAATATTGGCTTAAATTAGTATCTCTAACCCATATAACGCTATACAAATGTCAAACTCCATGAAAAACACATTTGTGTGTGATTTGTGACTTTCATTCGAATTTACTAAATTGAAAGGCCTACAATGCTATTTTTGGTTTTTATATTGATAGAAAAATGTTTTTCCAAAAACTTCATTTGGACAAGATTCTCTCATGTCTAAAGATCATTTCTGTAAGATTTCATCTTATTTGGACATGATTTGGAAGAGTTTCGAGTTTTTCTCACTTTGATGAACTTGCTAAAAAAAATTTGGAAATGACATGGTTTTACACTGATTTGTGAGTTTTATATCTCTCAATTTATTGCAAACTGGAAGGAGCTTTCGGTATGACTTTTGATCCCCTATATTTGAAAATTATTGGTAATTTTTGTTTTAATTTTTGCAGCTCATTTGGACTCTGTTTGAATGCTTTTTCAAAGCCCATCTTAAGTTGTGTAAAAATCTGGAATTTCAGCTTGCTGAAATCTTATGATTTTTGTTTTGTCTATATGGTTGAGATATGAGCAAGACTCCAAAATGAAACTTGTGCATGATTCCATGAATTATCTCCAGGATTTATTGCATGTTTTTGGAGATCATTTCCACAAGTTTTGTGTTGCTACAAGAGCTTGCTTGGTTGTATCTTTTTTTTTTGGTTAAAATTCAAATTTTAAAAGTGCGTTTCATTTTGTTGAAAATCTGAGTCGATAGCTTAATAAAAATTGTTTCGTGTAGTGAGTTCTATGTTACGTGAATGTTAAATCAATTTTGAGCTCTATTGGATTTGTTCCTTGCATGAATTCCTCTTGCTCTTAAACCCCATTATTTGAGCCAACCTAAACTCAAATGGAATTTTCATTAACAACCTACATATTCCATTTCCTTTGCTTTTGAAATACAAGTTGATTCTTGTTGCCATTGCCAACTACCATTCCTTGATCCAAATTCGCACTTGCATACACAAGTGGTGTCTATATAAAATGGTACTAACCCTTGATCATCTTGAACTCGGTATTTGTCAATCATTGTCATTCCATTGCCGAGATTACTCACATGACCAAGAATCTGTCAAGTATCTTTGACCAAACTCCTCTCTTAGAGAAAAATACTTGATGAGTGCATTTTGAGAGAAAGTTCTAATGCTCATAATCACTCCCTCCAACAAATGAAATCCATTCTAATTCTTTTTGTCTAAGTGTTGAGACTACGAGAGTAAGGGGGAGTAATTGTTAAATGGACCATTTGTAAAATTTTTGCTTTGAGCCTCGATTTCAAAAAAAATATTTGGTCTTGTGAATGTTTGTTCTTGTTTTGCTCGAGCAAAATTGTTTCTTTTTTAGTTCCTTGCAAATGTTTTTTTGTGAGATTAGTGCCAAAAGTGGGAGAATATTTGAGGATCCCACATTTGATATGATTATCGATATACAAGGGGAAAATATTTTTGGATCCCACATTCATTTGGTGCATGTCTTGAAAAGAAGCATATCATGACCTATGATAGCATTCAACATGCATCATATGCACAAGCATGTCATACATGTCATACATCGATATACAAGGGGGGCATATTTTAGGATCCCACATTCATTTGGTGCATGTCTTAAAAAGAAGCATATCATCACCTACCGTAGCATTCAACATGCACCATATGCACAAGCATGTCATACATGGGTATAAATCAATCATCAAATATTCGTACCATTATTATTATTTGATCCCATCTTTCTTCACTTGCTTCCTTCCTTTCTACTAAACTGAATTTTACCCTATTTCAGTACCACTTGATAAGCCCGGATCTGTCTGACGACATAGGAGCGGGATTCTCTAAAAAGCCAAGGTCATGGGTGGCCAAGAGGGCCCACTTGGAGACTTGGGATCTCAGCAGGAAATATGAAGGTAGAATTCAAAAGTTTTTCCTTATTCTTTTATTAATAAGAAAGGGCTATGTATCATATTTATACTTAATGCTCCCCAATTCTACCAGAAATACTCTAAGAATTTGTTAAGAGTAAATTCTTTGAACTGATTCATCCATAGCCTTAGGTCAGAACCCTTTTTGACTATGTACCTTTGATTCTACTATGATTATTCATCAATAGGTACTAACCCCCCGAAATCACTTTCCCTACTGCTACGTTGAAATGAAAATGCCCGCCTCCAATCCGCTTAGTTAAACCAGATTCTCAGACATATGATTGTTGAGTTAAGGAACAACTCGAACGGTTT